CGTTGTTGCTGATCCCCATGAGAACGGCTCCGGGCCCCGTTGTGGGATGGTGCAAACACCGCTGGGATGTGGGATGGGGGGGCACCCGGATCGGGGCCTCACTGCTGGCACCGCCTTCAATTAATGATGAGTGCGTGGGGGGGGGGGGAAGAGCCGGTGGCAGAGCAGTGACTCACATTGGTGGGCAGCGGGGCTCCGGGGGGCAGAGGGGCATTGGGGGGTAGAAGAACACCGAGGGCAGATGGGGTGACCCTGCAGCGACACCCAAAAAGATCCCCGTCCCACAGCTGTGGGCAGTGGGTTGAGCCCTGTGCGCCATGGGGTGGTTTGGGGTGAGGGATGTCCACCCGGTGGGACTCTGCTCCCCACCAGGAGGGGCCACCGGTTCTTCCCACTCGGAGGTGGGGAACGGACCCGGCCCTGACCCCGCTTCTCCCTTTGCTTTGCAGAATGCAGCGAGCTGCTGTCCTGTGAGCTGTGCACCACCGCTCCTCCAGCGCCCAACGGCACCGGCTGCCTCTGGGGGGGCTGTGGGGCACCGGGTGAGCGCTGAACTCCTCCCCCTTCCCGGTGCCATCCATCCTTCAGCTTGAGGTGTGGGGCTCCAGGCCCGCCTGGGTCTCCCGGGACCCCCATGGGAAACCCCTGCCCCATTTTACTGCAGAGACGTGGAGCTGCGTGCGCAGCGGGGCGGCCGTGCGGGACACGTGTGTGCTCTACAACAGCAGTGCCCTGTGTCCAGGTAACCCCACAGCCATGGGGCCGCAATGGGGATGGGACCACGCGTGGTTGTGCCTCCTGCAGCCCTCCTCACTCCTGTCCTCTGCTGTTGTCTCCAGCGGCACTGAAATCCCCCACCAAAGAGCCACCGCGGTCCCCTAGCAAGGAGCCGGCAACGCATTCCCCACGTGAGTGGGGCTGGGGTGGGATAGCATGAAATGGGATAGGTTGGGATGGGATGGATGGTTGGTATGGTGGGGGGGGGGGTGGGATGGGTTGGGATGGGATGGGATGGGATGGGTGGATTGGGGTAGGATAGCATGGAATTGGATGGGATGGATGGGATGGATGGAATGGATGGGTGGGGGTTGTACAGCATGGGATGGGATGGGATGGGATGGGATGGATGGGATGGGATGGATGGGATGGGATAAGTGGGTTGGGGTGGGATAGCATGGAATGGGATGGGATGGATAGGTTGGGGCTAAATAGCATGGGATGGGGTGGGATAGGATGGATGGATTGGGGTTGGACAGCACGGGATGAGGTGGGATGGGACAAAATGAGATGGCACGGGAAGGGATGGGATGGGACGGGATGGGACCACCCACTTCCCTGTACATCCTGTGTCCCCGGGATGAGCAGTGCCACCCTCTCGGGGTCCCATCACTGAGCTCTGAGCCCTGCTGTGTGCACGGTGCCAGCCCTGCCCCAGCCCCACAGCTCTTCACTGCAGCAGTGTAGGACGGGCTGGGGGGCCCTGGGGAGCAGCAGCAACTCCTGTGCGGGCAGCAGAGCGGGCGGGGAGCTGGGATGGGGCCGGGAGCGGAGATGGAGCCTCTTCCAGGAAATGGGAACTGGAGAGCTGGGCTAAAAGCGGCCGTAACCGGAGCTGCGGCTCTGAATTATTGATGCCTCGCGCCGCTCCAGCAACGGAGGGGGCCGAGCCCTTCTCTCCCGCTGGACCCCATCCTTCAGGAGGGGGATCGGTTTAGGGTCCGTCCCCGTAGCCCCACTCTGTCCCGTAGGGAGCAGCACCACGCGTGCCCCGCTGACGGGCAGCCCCGAGTTCCAGCCTCCGGGCTTCGACACGGCCAGCTTTGTGGGCGGCATGGTGCTGGTGCTCAGCGTGCAGGCCGTCCTCTTCTTCATCCTCAAGTTCATCAAGTCCAAGGACAGCAGCTACCAAACGCTGTAAGGCTCCCTTGCTCCTCTGTGGGGTCGCACCGACGCTATGGGGCAGCCCCACCGTCCCACCGCGTCTCACCGTGGGGCGCTGCGTCCTCCCGTGGCTGTTTGTCCGTCCCCTCCCATGGGGGTGGGGAGGATCTGGGGCTCTGGGGCGCCCTCCCTCGTTGCCACGTGGAGGAAACGGGTGTCCGTCTCGTGTCCGTCTGTCTGTGCGCTGCTGTCCTGCCGCAACCCATAGGGACCGTGCAGCCCCCAGACCCCCCGTGTGGGGGTCCGATGCTCTCCCAGCCCCTCCTCGTGCCCACTGTGGGGCTTCTAACGCGGGGGGGGCCGTGCCCCTCTCTCTTTCCTTGCACGCTGCCAGAGAGGACAACCAGTAGGTGCTGAGCGCTGCCAGAGGATGGGGAGGGGGCTGCCCTGCTGCCCCGCGGCTGCCCCTGGGGGAAGGGGCTCATTCCCTCCTTCCTGCTTTGCGTGGCGGGGGGATTCTCTGCTGTTTGCTGTTTGTCCCCGGGGCTGTGAGGTGACCCCACATCCCCATCCCTTCTGCTGCGTCCCCAAGAAGGTGGCGGGCAGCCCCGTCCCATTGAGCCCCTCGCTGGGGTGGGGGCTTCCCCCCCAGGAATTGCTCTCTAATAGGGCACCCAGCAGCGTGCATCCCCCCCCCCCCCCCATCCCCCTGTGCGCCGTGTGGGGGTCCCCTCTTTGTTCAGCATCCCGGTGCCATCGCATCCTGCAGGGTCCCAGCCCCGCATGCTGTCCCCTCCCCTCCCCTCCCCCCCCCCCCCCCCCCCCCGGGGCCCCCGCTCCCCCCTATCCCCCCCCCCCCCCTGCAGGAGCAGAGCCGGGACCTTGCTGTGTGCTTTTGTTGTGCCTCTGTGTTCCTGGGTGTATGGGGGGGGACACGATGGAGATGGAGATCCCCGTGTGTCCCTCCTCCCTCCCCCCGTGTGCTGTTTTGGGGAGGGGGCTGCGTGCTGTGTGCTGTGGGGTGAGGTTTGTCGCTCCCGCTGCCCCCATTAAACTCTGCCGGGTGGTGTCCGTGTGACGCCCCCCCGCGTCCGGGGGGGGGCCCCACCGGGGGGGGGGGGGGGGGGAGATAAGCCTGCAGAGCCCCTGTGCCCCCCATCCCTTCCTTGCAACAGCTCCCATTCCCCCCCTCATCCCGAATGTGGGACCCCCCTCTCCCACGGGTGGGGGCAGTAGGGTGGGTGCTGTGCCCCCCACCAGGTCCTTCCTGCCATGTGCTTTTCTCCATCCACTGCTGCAGGATCTGAGCTCCGGGCGATGCTGCCCTCGCCTCCCCCATCCCCCCCCCCCCGGGGAGGTGGAGAAGAGACCACCGCTGTGTCTCCATCCCATGCTGGGACCACCCCAAAGCCGTGGGACCCCCCCACCTGCACCACAACTATGCAAAGCTGGCTCTGCTCGGGGGGGGGGGGGGGGGGG